TTTTCAGTTCCAACGCCTACAGTGTCGCGTCCAACACAACACAACATCTCATGCAGTTCTCAGCATGGCCCGCTGATAAATAAGGCTATCCAACAACTTTTCCTAAGATTTGAGGTGAAGGTTGTAATGGAATCCCATCTTTAAATGATCTTATATTTAGTGTCAAAAATGATCTTATATTTTGGGACGGAAGAAGTACATTCAGCAAAAACTAAACCTTCAACAAACAAAGCAATGACAAGAAAACCACCATTATCCTTTTGAGTATATAATAAAAGGGTCGTCCTCAACTTCTAGTAAAGAGCAGGACCGAAAATCAAAGTTGGGCAACCTAGAACACAAATTTGACAATCTAGTTAGGATTCATGTAAGGGAATGGCGAGCTCTATCGGAACCAAAATTAATGACACATGTATTGAGAACCAGTATTATTTAGTGTACTAAATTCAGCTTTTTTTGAAAAGAGGGGACTCCCCGCCCTCTGCATCAGAACGATGCATACGTTCAACTTATTAAAAAAAATAGGTTTAACAAGGTCTTAAAGTCTCAATTGAAAATAAAGAAGAGCTCACAAAGAGCCAAAAGAACCAAAAACAAACTAGCCACAAAAAGCCACAACCCGCTGGCATAAGAGAGATAGGTAAACTAATTGCCCATCCTATTACATGACCGCCATCCAAACCGGTTGAAGATCCCGTGCTACCATCTCCCAGCGGATAGATCCAGTAACCAAATGCTCCCTGGCCTCCGTCGGAGTGAGTAGCGACCACATACGGATCAACGCAGTGACTCGGAAAATAACCTGCAAAAAATGAATATTTTTTGTTCTGTTAAAAAACAAATCATTTCTGCAGTTCCAGACTGCCCACAATAAAGCACAAACTCCTACGCGAATGTGTTTCGCTGTTTCGGGCTCTATCCCGTTAAGCCACGTTCCAAATAACGTGTTTACAGAACTCGGTGGAGTAATATTAAATGCAATATGGACTGTCCACCATAGAACTTTGGCTAACTGGCAATCAAGAAAAAGGTGTTTGATAGTTTCATCCCGATCACAGAAACTACACCTAGTAGGTCCTTTCCAATTACGCTTTGCCAAATTGTCCTTGGTTTATATTACTTGTTTATGGACAACCCACATAAACACTTTGATTTTCAAAGGAACTTTGACAGCCCAAACATGTTTTGAACTAGGAATCGAGCTTGAATTGATAACATCAAGATACATTGATTTAACTGTAAACTCTCCAGACCTAGTAAGCTTCCAGTGTAATTTATCGAGTTGTTGAGATAGCTGAACCTCCATCAGTCTACTTACTAGATGAAGCCATTCTTCCCAACGATTGCCAACTATTGTCCTTCTGAACTGAATATTAAGGGGACTGGATTGAAGTACCGTTGCAACGAACGCCTCACGTCGTTGAACAATACGATACAGAGACGGGTATTGAATGGCAAGGGGGGTCTCTCCGAGCCAAGTATCCTCCCAGAATCGCGTGCTAGCACCGTTGCCAATAATAAACTTTGTCCTATTAAACAAGGTTAATTTGACTTTCATAAGCCCTTTCCAAAAAGGTGAGTCAGTCGGCCTTGCTGTCACCTGGGACAAAGTTTTGGAGTGAAGATACTTGCTACGGAGGATCTGCGCCCAAGTGGCATCAGTCTCTACCGATAACTTCCACAGCCACTTGCTAAGAAGACATTTGTTCTTGACCTCAATATTCTCAATACCAAGACCCCCTTGGTCTTTCGGTCGACAGATGATATCCCATTTGGCGAGTCTGTATTTTCTTTTTAGTTCATCGCTCTGCCAGAAGAACCGTGATCGATAGAAGTCCAGTCTTTTCCTAACTCCAACTGGGACTTCGAAGAACGACAAAAGAAACATAGGCATACTCGTGAGAATCGAGTTTATCAGAATTAATCGGCCTCCGTATGACATGAGCTTGCCCTTCCAGCAACTCAGTTTCTTTTCAAAGCGGTCCTCGATGCACTTTCATTCTTTGTTTGTAAGCTTACAATGGTGGATTGGTATATCTAGGTACGTAAAAGGTAAAGTTCCCAATTCGCACCCAAACAATTGCCTATATGCCTCTTGTTCGTCATTGGCTCTAATTGCGCGTTCAATCAACAAAGCAGTGACAGGAAAACCACCTTTATCCTTATTACTATTACAAACAAAAAAAAAGTTGCCGTGCTCAACCTCAACAACTAAGGAGCAGGACCCAAATCAAATGAACAACTTAGAACAGAAATTTAACAGTCTATTTAGGATTCATCCAAGGGAATGGCGAGCTATATCAAAACCAGAATTAAGAGTGCACAAGTACTTTAGTGATGAATGGTGAACCTGTATGTATGTTAGGGCATCTCCAGCCGTTGGCCCCCCAGGGGGGGTCTAAAAGCGCCGCCTGGGGGTGAGCCGGCGCAAAAAATGGCCCCGGGGGCGAGTCGGTCCCCAGCCGTCGGCCCCCAGGGCCGCCCCCAGGCGCGTATTTAAAAAAAAGACCGTTCGGCGAAGTTATGATAAAAACTAGTTAAATTTCGGCCAAACATGGCAAATTTCGGTGAAATTCGCGCATTTTCATTACATTAACCTAATCTACAAAAAGAAAAGGGCTGAAGTCGTCGCCGCCGTCGCCGCCGTCGCCGCCATCGTCGTCGTCGGCCTTCTCCTCCTTGACGCGGGCGCCCCTACTGGACCCCTGCCCGGCGTCACCATGGCGGACTGGCGGCGGCGCCTCGTCGTTGTCGTCGCTGTCGCATAAGACGACGACCCCGTCTTCAACGCGGCCGCGTCGGCGCTCCTCGAAGTGGCGCAGGATGGCGCGTTGGCGTTCCTTCTCCTTCTCCCGGCGCGCCTTCTCCATCGCAATGGAGTCCTGGCGCGCCCATTCTAGGGCCGCGTCGTCGTCGTCGAACTCCGCCTCCACCGGCACCAGCCCCGGCTCCGTCTTCACCGGCGCCAGCCCCGGCTCCATCTTCGGCTTGACGAAGCGCGGAAGAGCCGACGAGGAGGGGGCGTGCCGGCCGTCCTCGTTGATGACGATGCCGACGCTGCGAGTGCGCCGGCCGATTGGCATCTCCGCCGCGGGCTCGGCCTTGACGCCGAGAAGCGCCGGAGAACCGGAGGAGTGGGAAGATGAGCGAGAGGAGGAAGACGAGGAGGAGGCGAACCTCCTTGGCGCCCATGCGCGTCGGTGTTGTGACGGGGCGGCCCCCGTCGCAGGATAGGTCAACGGCGGGTTGTTGCCGCCGTCGAGGTGCGTCAGCACGCCCTCCAGCGTGCGGCCCGGGACGCCCCATCACAGGTGGCGCCCCACACTGTTCTTCACGCCGCCGACCACCGGCGCGTCGTTGGTGGAGGCCAGGCGCTGCTGCTGGCGGCGCTGGAAGTACGCCGCCCAAGCCGCGTGATTGCCAGCGGCGTACTGGGGGAGGGAGCGCTCGTCGTCGGTCAGGGAGGCGTGCGCGACCTCGACCTCCTCGGCGAAGTATGTGGGCTTCGCCATGGCGTCGGGTAACGGGGCAACATGCACTCCCCCGTCGCTGAGCCGCCACCCCGTCGGCCCGGCGCGCATGTCCGGCGGCGCCGAGATGTTTGCCTGGAACAGGAGCCAGGACTCCTGTCCGCGGAGCGAACACCGGCAGAAGCCGTTCGCCGCCGCCTCGTCTCCGGGGAAGTGCTCTGCCATGGCGACGGGCTCGGCGGTGGTAGAGAGGGAGAGAGAGGGGCTGCCGGTGCCGCTCGGGAGAGGAAGACGGAGACGGAGAGAGAGGGGCTAGGCGGCGGCGAGGGGCGAGTCTGGTGTGGGCACCGGCGAGAACCGCCGGCTTTTATAGCCGCTCCGTGCCCGTGTGTACGCGTGCGAGGGAGGGGAGGCGTCGGCGCGCCGTCCCGAGACGCGCCGCCCGTGTGGAATCAATGGCAAGGCTGACCGGCGGCAGCCTTGCCATTGATTCCACGCGGGAACCGAGGCAGTTGTGGGGAAGACGAGCCGCCGTGTCCCTGACGCAGCTGGCCCGCGGATTTTTCGCGCCAAAACAGTTCGCCCCGGCGCCCCCGGGCGCCCCCCAGCGCGCCGGGTTCGGCCTGGGTCCGCCGGCGTTGTTTTCGGCCCAGGCCGGCGAAAATCGGGCTCCTGAGACCCGACTGGGCCATTTTTTCGGTGCCGGCGCAAAAAAAAAAACGTCTGGGAAGACATTTCTGGGGGCGCGGCTGGAGATGCCCTTATCACCCCGGTCTTACTACAGACATATAAGTATCAATGAGTGAATCACGTTGTTTGCTGCCCCTCAAAAGATCCTCTTTCCCCGAGCAAAAAAGAAGATGAATTGACTGTCTTCCAGGTTTGTTTAGCTGCACATTTCTCGACACCATCAATGGAAGTCCATGCGGGTAACATACAAGAAACTAATATTTCTTTACCATGCCTCTACCCCTATATGCTGCGATATAAAAGAGACGATTCACAAACAAACATACCAAATCTTACAAATGCATAAAAGCAGAGGTAGCATCGATGGATAACAAGTTGCTATACGTTGAGAAGAGATGATCCACAGATAATCACATCAAATCTTTAAAATGCATTAAAAAGGAGCATCGATGGAGCAAACTGTAGACTGGAGATATTTACTTGCATAAAACAAACGGAAATAAAAAGGTGACAATAACACAGATAATGTAGTCTCAATATCTTATATTACCCACATCAGGGGCTAGCGAGTGGCCATAATAATTAGTGCTACATGACAGCAAATAGATTAAATAGCTAGGTGGATTCTTACAACTAAGCAGTACCATTAGCCTTACAAAGTCTTGGCTAATAAACATCGTTCAAAGCAACGATGGCATGCACCTGAACACAAGACTGTTCACATAGGAGTTGGGACCTCTCCACGCAATGCCACAAAATCAGGAGAGTAGGTACATAGCAACAAACTAAGTTTCGCAAAAGGTGCTGTCCCATTATAGGCACATGATGTAGCACTGAATCTCAGTGACCAGCTGAGGGCAATTCCGCAAAACAGGGAATATAAGGCAGACCATTCATGCCTTCAGTGCAGATAACATGCACTTTCTGATTATCCATGTCATACGACAATGTCAAGTTTTTCTTGTCAGTAAGAAAAATCATGTTGCAATCCGGATGAATTGCAAACATCACATAAGAATCTCCATCTTTACGGCAATTCCTTCCAAACAGCTCCAAAACGTTAACAGTATGCTTTAGGGTCCACTTTCCAGCATCATAATCCTCGAGGACCCAAATATTGAGTTGGCAATCACGAGAATTATCTATCCACCAGGCATACAAGCGTCCTTGTAAAAAGGCCCTTACTTCCAAAGCTGCAAGGGAGTGCGACAAGGGGACCCGCATTCACCTTTCTTATTCAATATGGCTGTGGAAGCCTTATCCAAAATGATCCTGAAAGCTCAAAGAGAGAAATTGATAACAGGTCTGGCTCCGGACCTGATTGATGGGGGGTAGCTATCCTCCAATATGCAGACGATACGGTTGTGTGTTTTGAGCATGATAAAGATGCTGCGGTTAATCTGAAACTCTTACTTTATTTGTTTGAGCTTATGTCAGGGCTTAAGATTAATTTTCTGAAAAGTGAAATTTTGTGTGTTGGAGGGGATGATGAGGTTCTTGCGTTTCATTCAAAACTCTTCAATTGTCAAATTGGCCACTTCCCTATGAAGTATTTAGGGGTGCCTGTGAGCTATTCTACCCTCCGTGCGATTGACTGGGATTTTGTTGATGACAAATTCCTCAAGTGTTGTGAATCCTGGATTGGTAATGCGGCCTCCTTAGGAGGAAGATTGACTCTTCTCAACTCGTCCCTTACGAGCATTGTTTTCTTTTACATGTCTATGTTTATGCTTTCTAAGAAGAATATTGAGAAGCTAGATAAACATAGGAAAAAGTTCTTTTGGCAAGAGACTGACGGTCGGAGAAGATATCACTTGGTTAGATGGTCTAGGATCTGCAGATCCAAGAATAAAGGGGGTTTGTGTTGGAAATATGCCCTAGAGGCAATAATAAATTAGTTATTATTATATTTCCTTGTTCATGATAATCGTTTATTATCCATGCTAGAATTGTATTGATAGGAAACTCAGATACATGTGTGGATACATAGACAACACCATGTCCCTAGTAAGCCTCTAGTTGACTAGCTCGTTGTTCAATAGATGGTTACGGTTTCCTGACCATGGACATTGGATGTCATTGATAACGGGATCACATCATTAGAAGAATGATGTGATGGACAAGACCCAATCCTAAGCCTAGCACAAAGATCATGTAGTTCGTATGCTAAAGCTTTTCTAATGTCAAGTATCATTTCCTTAGACCATGAGATTGTGCAACTCCTGGATACCATAGGAATACTTTGGGTGTGCCAAACGTCACAACGTAACTGGGTGGCTATAAAGGTACACTACAGGTATCTCCGAAAGTGTCTGTTGGGTTGGCACGAATCGAGACTGGGATTTGTCACTCCATGTAAACGGAGAGGTATCTCTGGGCCCACTCGGTAGGACATCATCATAATGTGCACAATGTGACCAAGGAGTTGATCACGGGATGATGTGTTACGGAACGAGTAAAGAGACTTGCCGGTAACGAGATTGAACAAGGTATCGGGATACCGACGATCGAATCTCGGGCAAGTATCGTACCGCTAGACAAAGGGAATTGTATACGGGATTGATTAAGTCCTTGACATCGTGGTTCATCCGATGAGATCATCGTGGAACATGTGGGAGCCAACATGGGTATCCAGATCCCGCTGTTGGTTATTGACCGGAGAGCCATCTCGGTCATGTCTACATGTCTCTCGAACCCGTAGGGTCTACACACTTAAGGTTCGATGACGCTAGGGTTATAAGGAATAGATATACGTGGTTACCGATTGTTGTTCGGAGTCCCGGATGAGATCCCGGACGTCACGAGGAGTTCCGGAATGGTCCGGAGGTAAAGATTTATATATGGGAAGTCCTGTTTTGGTCACCGGAAAAGTTTTGGGGTTTTTCGGTAGCGTACCGGGACCACCGGGAGGGTCCCGGGGGTCCACCAAGTGGGGCCACAAGCCCCAGAGGGCTACATGGGCCAAGTGTGGGAGGGGACCAGCCCCATGTCACATCCCTAGTTCTATTAATGCCTAGTGCTAGCATCTGGTGTTGCATCATGTTTAAATTTCAGTTAAACCTGAAATGGGGATTGCCTAAACCCTAGCACCAAATGAATTCAACTAGGTTCAATAAAAAAAATATTTTCAATGATCCCAATTGCCCTTTAGAAAAGTTCATGATTTTTGTTAAAGATGAAAACCTCTGCCAAAAGTCATGCACATATTTCTAGGCCATTCTGGATTTTTGAACTAAATCATATAGTATTTGAATTTGGGCATTTAAATACTATAAAATAATTAAAATGTTCAAATAATCCTAAACTGAAATGTTCCATGTTGGATATATTCCAAACAGTGGCCATGAGCAGTTTGGAGATTTTTGAGTGTGCCTAAGTATTTTTAATAAAGCCCAGAACAAAATAACAAAATAGAAAAGAGAAATAAAATAGAAATGGAGAGAGAGAACCTCACCTGGCCTCACTGTGCAGCCCACCTAGTCGGCCCAGCTGGCGGCCCAGCCAACTGGCCAGCCCACCGAGGGCAGGGGCGTCTTCTTCCTCCTGCCAGAAGGCAGAGGAGAAGACAGCCACGGCGCCGCGGCGTGCCACGCCGGCAGCTGCCTGCCTGGCTGCCCCCTCGTCGCCCTGGACTCCTTCTGCGACGCCACGCTACCCCCCTGGACCCCCTTGACGCTCTCTCTCTCCCTCGCTCTCTGCTCCCTCTCCCGAGCACACACGAGCGGAGCTCATCGTCGCCGACGCAATTTGCCGCGACCACCGCTGTCCGAACGATGCCCCGAGCTGTTCCCGAGCTCCTGCACCTCGTCGCCAACCTCCTCACCGACTCACACCACCAGGAGAGCCCCGAAGCGACGGCCTCAACGTCATCTCCAACCACGGCCGACCGAGATCGCCGTTGTCAATTCGCCGTCGCAGAAGCTTCCCCGAGCCCGCTGAGTTTCTCTCTCGACCCCTTGTGAGCTCCTGCACCTTCCCTATGCTCGCCCCCTCTCCGTTTCTCTCCGCTAGTTCGATTCCGCTGGAGCCGAGAGCTCATCGCCGCCGTCCATGGTGCCGCCGTCGTTTTAGACACCATAGCTCGTGCCTGATCGCGTCAACGCGTTCGGTGCCTTCCCGGGAGCACGCAGCTCCCACCAGCTCCTCCTCCCGAGCACCCTAACACCGAGCCCGCACCAACCCCGAACTCCGGCCACCGCCTTTGAGCTCGTGGCCGTCGACTCCGGCCACCCCAGGCCCGGCTACTGCCACTAGGCGACACGCTGGAACGCCAGCTACTCGTAGAGCCCAACCGCGGCTCAAACCGCGGCCTGTACACGAAACCCGAGCAACTCCGGCGAGTTGCCGCCACGGTTTTGGTCGCCGGCGACTTAACTCCGGCCGTGCCGACGTGGCACCATCATTAGTGGCTAATGACGCCACTAAACTAACCCCTAGCTCACAGACGAATGGACCCCACACCTGATTAACCCCAAGTTTAGTTTCCTGTTTAGATTAGTGCTAACCCTATGGACCCCACGTGTCAGCTTTGACTTTGGTCAAGTCAACGTTGGCCGGTCCCACTTGTCATCCACCCAAACCAGCCTGAGACACTGACGTGTGGGTCCCAGTCGTCAGGTTTGACCTGGGCTGGCGCCTTTGACCTACTGATGTCACGGTAACGTAGTGTTGACGCAATAATTCATTTTCTGGAATTAGTTAATTCTAAATAATTCAAAAAATTCCAGAAAATTGGCTAAACTTCTAAAAATCATAGAAATTCAACCGTAACTCCAAATAAAATAAATTATATATGTAAAATTAACAGAAAAATTCAAGGAATCCATCTGTACCCTTTTCATGCATGTTTGAACAATGTTTGTCCTCTGTTTTGGACAAAACAAATACAGGGCACTTAAATAAACATATATGGAGTTGGAATTTGAATCTTGTATTCAAACCAACTTCATTTAAATCATAACTAGGTGCATTAGCTCAAATCACAGCATATTGCCATGTCATGATCATGCATCATATTGTTGCATATGCATTGATTGTGTTCTTCTATTTTGCCGGTGTTTGTCCCCCTTCAGTAGACGGCGTTCCGACGATGTGTTCGATGACACCGATGAAAAGCTATTACTATCTTCAGAAGTGCCAGGCAAGCACAACCCCCTTGTTCATTCTGATACAAGCCCACTCTCTCGCTCCTACTCTCTTTTACTGCATTAGGACAACAACGATCATCTGTTACTTGTTGCGGTAGTTGAACCCCTTATCCTCTGCATGACCTGTCATTGCCCCAGTAAATAGATGAAACCCACTAGCATGAGTAGGAGTTGTTTGAGCCCTGATGTGCCTACTCATTCATGCTTGTTTGTCATGCCTGCTACTGCTTAGAGTTGGGTCAGGTCTGATTCATCGGGGATGAATCGGAGGTGTGTAAACATGTCCTACTGTGTGTGAGCTAAGTGTGTGAACACGTTTTGGTAAAGGTAGCGGTGAGAGGCCATGTAGGAGTACATGGTGGGTTGTCTCATTGAAACCGTCCTCGGGAACTGAGTTTTGTGTCTGTGATCCATGAACAGCTACTACCACTCATTGGGATCCTTAATTGACCCTCTCGGCTTCTTAATCACCCTAGTACTCTGTCCAGGAGTTGCAACTAGTTTCTGGTGTTTGTAGGTTATGTGTCGGCGGCCGTGCGTAGCGCTGACCCTAGGGGTGGGCTATGATGCGGTAGATACACCGTGGCCGGGCATGCCGGGCGCCCGTTTGGTGTCTCGAAACCCTGTACACATCATTCAGGGCCGTATGTGGAAACCTCGGCCGGACTCCCTGCGGATGGAACCTGGATAGGCGATAAACCTGGACTAGAGACTTGAGTGTTTAGGTAGGCCGTGGCCGACACCCTCGCTGGGCTTCCGCTTGAAGGTTGCCGAGTACATGTCATGTAAACGGCGGTAAGTGGTGGGAGCGTGTGTGAAGAAGTACACCCCTGCAAGGTTAACATCATCTATTCGAATAGCCGTGTCCACAGTAATGGACTTCTGGGTTGCCTATAACAGTTCATAGACAAGTGAAAATGGATACTCTAAAACTCGCAAGATAAGTGTGAGTGCTATGAATGGCCTTCTCGTAGGGAGACGGGAGCGGATCCATAGTGGTGTATTGAATGGT